TTCTTTCTTTCTTTCTTTCTTTCTTTCTTTCTTTCTTTCTTTCTTTCTTTCTTCCATTTCTATAGAAAGGGTCTTATTACGTAGCTCTGGGTGGCCTTGAACTTACTATATAGATCCTGTTGGTTTAGTAACTGATTTGGTCAACATTACATAGCTAGTAAGTGATAGTGCCCATGGTCCTAAGGTTTAGGCTTGCTGCTCTAAGCATCCCTCCAAAGTTAGGCATGTGGAAAGACCAAGAGAGTTGGTACAGGAAATGAGCATCTTAATTTAAGACTAGTTCAACAGGGAGTGCTGAGAGAGTATATAATAAACGATTTCAGAAACTATAAAATTGCCCCGAGAGATTGGTTACTTCAGAAGCTCTTCTGATAGAGCCAGAGTGTGGTGCCACTGTGATCTGGGGAGTCTGGGCCCTGTCTCATGCCAGCCACTAATCAGCTCCTTCCCCATCCTCATTAGATTACTGAAGGAAGTTAAAGTATCCACTCCTCTGTGGGGCTTTTCAGAAGTCCTCCAGGATGTTCTCAGTGGGGACAGTTTTCTATCATGCGTGTCTGCTCACTAGTGAAATGGGTCAAGAGGGATATTAGAAAGAACCCTGGGAGCCAGCAGGGTAGGTTAAAGGGAAATAATCTTTACTTAATTTAGCCCCAGCACCCACTCTTGTCTGATGCCGGAGTTCTCCTCTTGTGAGGTGAGGCTTCATATATAAGCCTACTAAATAGGCGAACAAGCCCAAGCTCTCCCCTGGCAAGGTACCACACTTTATTCCTGTGTGATTGAAAGAGAAACTGGCTATAGTCTGGTCAAATACTGCTTTTGAGATGGTGTTTGCATTGATTTCTCTTTCTTTTCTTCCTAATAGAGGTGTCTTGGCTGTGTTCTTTATCTAATGAGTTCTATTGAAATGGGTTGACTGTTAAGAACAGGTGCCCCCCCCCCGACTCCTAAGGCAGCCTGATAAAGGACATTTGGAGCAGGAGGCCTATACCCCCTTGAAAACTGTCTAGTTCATTGACCTTCCCATCTTCTTCTTTTTTAAAATTACTTATTTTTTATTTTCTGTACACTGTTTTTTTTTCCCTGCATGTATGTTGGGCATCAGATCCCCTGGAACTGGATTGATAGACAGTTGTGAGCTGCCATGTGGATCTTGGAAATGAACCCAGGTCTTCTGGAAAAGCAGCCAGAGCTCTTCACCTCTGAGTCATCTCCCTGCTCCCCATCTTCTTAGGGACTTCATTCACAGCCACCCACATTTTCTTTTTCTTCCAGTCCACAAAAAAGAGAGCAAGAGGCCACTCGGTACTAGAAGTTTCTTCCACTTTATTTATAGTCAGTCAATACACAGAGAGCCATCTGAGTGCAAACCAAGATTCTGCGAGGTAGGGGTTTTCATTAAGCTTCAGGAAAAGAGTGTTTAGGGGAAAGAATACTCAGAGTGTTCTCTGGGGCAGCTTCTCCCTCAAAACGAGTCTGGATCCTCCTAGCACCTTAAAAGAACAAAATGGTTGGGCATTATCTTTTGGAATTAGATAATGCTGTTAGAGGTTCGGAAATACCAGAGTGCCAGTGGGGTGAGCTGGGAAGGGGAGGGTTTGGGCTTCACTCTCTGGACATAGTTTATGACTATGAAGGCAAAATCACTACGTTAGAGGAGTTGGATCATAGCACTCCTTGCACCTGAAAGGCCATTTCACACTTACAGGAAAACCAAGAAAACAGCCACAAGCAAGGCCAGAAAACTAAAGAGTTTGAACAAAGTTTCAAAGAGAGATGGGGACTCTGGTACAATTCGAGTTCTGGTGGCTTTTAGCGCCCTGTCCCACTGGGTCAAGATGGCATTTCTGGCTCCTTTCCATTTTCCTGGACCAGTCAGGCGGAAATGATATGGTGTGCATGGGCCAAAGAAGATGCTCAGAGCCAGGCGTGGATCGGTCAGGAGCATGGCCCGCAGATCCGGTTTTGCATTGATAGAGGTCAGGAGGTCATCGATGTATGTTATATAGTCTGATTGCAAAGCCTTGCAATAGCACAAACCAAACCTTTCCAACAGGAAGAAAGGGAAGAAAATGAATGACAGTCATGATGATGATAATCCTAGAACAAGAAACTTAAATCTCTGTCCAAAGTAAACTCTGCCGCTAGATTGGGAACAGCCTAGTGTATTCTTCCGTTATGCCCATGGGCATCTAAAATGGTCTCTTCTTATTTCTTTTGTTACTTCTTTGGGGCAAGGTTTCAAAATGTCACCCAGACTGGCTTCTCACTCATGGAAATCGTCCTATCTCAACCTCCCTAGTGTTGAGATCACAGTCATGAGTCACCACACTTGGCTTCAATCTTTCTTAAAACTCAATTATTTCTTCTTTTGTATAATATGACGAGCCACAAAATTCTGTAGAGTGAAATTCTCATACCTTTCCTACCAATCCTTTGACTCATTGACTGGCTTTTTGTGACAGGAAGGTTCTATATTACCCAGCAGTTGTAATTATTTACCCATTGTACTGGTGTCCTATAATGTGACCATATTCTAGACTGAACATAAAGGAACAACATTGGAGCTGGAGAGATGACTCAGCAGTTCAGAGTTCTTACTGTTCTTGTGGAGGACCCAAGTTTTGTTCCCAGCACCCACATGGTAGTGCATAACTGCCTGTAACTCTAGTTCCAGGGTTGGCTGCTCTCTTGTGGCCTCAGAAGGCCTCTGCATGCAGGAGATGCAGGCATACATGTACACATATGTCCACCCCACCTTTTAGAGAAGAAATATCTGCAATGCTTTTATTGTTTTTAACCTTAATGCTTAGACAAAGCTAGAACAACATCTGAAATGTGAGAATCTATGAATGAGACAAGTCACTTAATAAAATCGAATAATTAATAAAAAAGTCTTATTCTTAATCTCACATTGGCCAGAGTTTCACTATACACCCCAAGCTAGCTTCAGACTTGCAGCAATCCTCCTGCTGTAGCCTCTCAAGCACTGAGATTATAGGTATAAGGCAATGAATTTGGATAATTATCTCTTAGTGTGTGTATACGTGTGTGGCTGCATTTATATATGCAGGTATGTATGTGAATGTGTGTATATGTGTATAGAGGCAAGTAAACAAGCTGGGATGTTGTTCCTCAGGCCCTTTTTTGAAAACAGAGCCTTTTTGAAAAATTTCCAAGTATGGTAGGCTGGCCAGTCAGTGAGCCCTAGGAATCTGCCTCCTCAGTACTGAGGATTGCAAGCATTTCCCAGTACAGATGGCTTTTCTTCATATTCTGGGGACCGAACTTAGGTCTTGATGCTCACAAGGTACTTTACAAATGAAGTTATCTCCCTAGCTCATTTTAAGATTTCCCTCTTTCAAAAATCCCCCATAGAACTCTTTAGATTTTCAAGTGAAGATTTGCTTGGCAGAAAGTGAAACAGATAAAGTCAGAGATGATTTTGCTGCTTGGGGGGCCATAGTGGATGATGGCCATGGCTCTCTTTGTCGCCCATGTCCCTTCTATTCCCTTTGGCGCTTGAGTGGGCATGAGGAGCAGAACATAAGCAGCACCCCATCAGAATGCCCACTGGAAATGCTAACAGCTTCTGTGTCTACTGTAGGACGTCTCTATGGCAACACAAGGGCAGCCATTGACAACGCACAGTGAGTGAGCCTGGCTGCATTGCGACAAAACCATGTAAGTCACCCTGGTTTAAATTTTATCTAACTACAAAAATTGTAAAATCTTTATCTTCAACAACTATTTGAAAATGAAAATGAGAAACAGTGGGTCTGTACCAGAGGGCAGGGTCAACTGACTCTTGCTTTAGAGTAAGGACCTGGATGAAAAACAAAGCCAGTAGAGACCTTTTGAGTAAATAGAGCCTCTGGGGAAACATAGCTCTGCCTGCTGATTGTGGATAAGGTGTGAGGTAACGTGCCTGGTCTGTGCGGGTTCCTTAGTAGATGATTCTGGGAATTTAAAGATGCCTCAGTTTAACTGCTTGCCTTCTCTCTCTGTACACAGGCTCTCCTAAGTTTTTCTTCCGTCTCAGACACCTCTCTTTGCCTCATCTCCACTTCACTGTTTCGTCAACTAAGCTGTCATTCATAAAGGTCCCCATTAGCGCACTCACCCGCTGTGCTTGTTTTTCTTCCTTTCATTGACTTCTGCCGTCATGACACTTGGGGGTGGTACTGTGGCCGCACCTATAAGACAAACACACGACAGTGCAGTTTAGCACTAGCTCTTGGTTTCGGCTGATGGACACGGTTGCTTTCTCATTGCTGATCTCTCATTTTTCTGGTACCCAGCTACTTACCTGTTTTTCTGCAAATGTGTCAGTCGCCTGAGCTGACTGCTGTGTTCCTGGCATTAACACTGTTGACTGACAGGATGAATACTTGGCCCTCTCACTTGCTACTTAATGTGATAGAACATCAAACCTGGTTTGATCAATCATGTCATGTAATCGTCTGAAGCTTTAATTTTTATTGAACAAGTTGATTCAGTCAAAATAATAGGTTTTTCTAATCCCGGATTGATCATTTGTGCTGTGGTGACGTGTCACTATGCCACAATGATTCTTATTGAATGGATTCCATTCTTAATGTCCCGGATTAAAGTTCACAAAGCAAACAACAACTTACTAAATGTGCCCAGCTATTTCTCACACAGTTACCTTTTAGGACCTGAACCACCCATCGTGCTTGTGTTTCTCCTGTGGGTATCATGGAGCCCAGGGGTTTGATGAGGCCAATCACAGCCAGAGTTGGTTTGGGCAGATGTGCAGGCAAGATGTACTTGTACAGTGATGCTTGGCCATCCTCAACTTTCACTACAGATTCGTCGAGGAAGGGGAAAGCAAAGGTATATCCAGTGGCAAAGATGATGATATCGATAGGCTCTTCCTTTGGGGTGTTGTTAAAGATGACCGAGTTTTCCTTCACCTCCTTGATACTTGGCTTGATCAACACTTTCCCAGTGATGATACGGCCTGGAAGCTCATCGTTTAGCACAGGCTCTCTCAGCTGAGTCCTAAACAAAAGCATAAGCAGGGAAAGCTGTAGGTCAACCCTGAAGTCTTCTCTTTACTCTCCTTGGCTGGACCAGAGTTGCCAATCTTGGCCGAACCATATCCAAGAGTTAAGAAATATGTTTACCACTTACTGGAGTTTGAAAGCCAAAGAGACTGCCAGGGCCTTCTGCAGTCTGTCTTTCTTGTGTCGACTTTCAACATTCGGCTACTGCTATCAATCTAGAGACAGCAGAATGCTGAAGGACCACAAGGGAAACCAGGAATAATTGTGCAAGGGAATCATCATCATGTGCCAAAGAACACAAAGAGCGTCATCTTTTTCTGGTATACCCCTTTCTCAACAGAGAAAAGTGGTTTTTTTATTTTTGTTTTTGAGTTGCTTTGCTGTGAGTTGAATGTGTTTATGGTGAATGCACAGAAAGAGAGTGTATGGTAAAATGTAAACAGAAGGGAGGAGGAGCTTATAAGCACAGTCCCTTCTACAGTGTGTGGATTTAACACAGGTTGGGCAAGTCAAATGGTCCTTAGGGATTTCTCCTGTTCATCTGAAAAGTACAGATACTGACACCTGAGTAGGGTGAGAAAACATATGAAAAGGTTGTAAGTGGGAATTTTAGAAACGGAAAAGGACTGACTATAACCAAGAGAGACGGAATTGTACGTCTTCAGTCCTGTCTGTCACTGGCTGGCCTCGATAAAACTTACAGCAACAGACGCTTTCGTGGAAAGAGCTAGGGCTCTCGAGAGGTCTAGAGGGAGAAGAGGGAATAAGGAAAGACATGAGGGCAGTAGAGAGAAGCGGCAATAGGGCCGCACACAGAGAGAATCCCCACCCATCACCATTGTGGGCTCGGGCCACCCGTCCATAGTGGTCCTGAATGAAATCTGGAGGCAAGAAGAGAGGGTTTTCAGGGCACCTGGCAATGAATTTGCATTGTTGTGATGGCTAGTCTTGGCTGTCAACTTGACCACATCTGGAATTAACAAAAAACCCAAGTTGCTGGAGACATTTGTGAGAGATTTTTAGGTAACTGGATTACTTGAGGTCTGAAGACCCATTTTAAATCCAGGCCACTCCTTCTTGTGGCAGCTGAAAGACAGAAAGAAGGCTTTGCTCTTTGCCTGTTTGTCCTTGTTCTGTCTAGCAAGTCCACCCCTTCACTGGAGTTAGAACCTACTTTTTTTGGATTCTGACATACACCGAAGTCCATCTGAGACTTTCAACCTTGTAGACTGAATAACTCCTGTGTTTTTGGTCTTTCCACCAGTGGACAGCTATTGTTGGACTAGCTGGACCACAGCCTGTAAGCTACTCCAATAAACCTCTATATATTCAAATGAATGAAAAAATACATATCAGTTCTCTTCCTCTAACACAATTGTCTCAACTTAACGAATGACAAAGTGACACTTAGTTATTGCTAATGGAATAAGCTGGAGGTTTTAATTAAAGGTTAGACTGAAATCAAAATGGTCACGAAGGCAGGAAGGCCTTGTCACTACAGAGACTCCTTAGGGTAACTATTAGACTCAGCCTACCCACAAGTGATACAATGAAAGTTGCTTTTGTTAATAGTCAAAGACAGATTAATCTTCTGTTTGCTGGATCAGAGACCCAAACTCTTACTAAATGAGGTAGGGCAAGTGACTAGAGTTTTCTGACTTAACTTTTCCACCCCAATAGAGAAAATATAATAATACTTACCTTGAAGAGTTGTTGGCAAGGTGGAACACAGAAACCTGCCTACAGAGCACTTGCTAGTTCGCTCTTACTGTGAGTAAACTTTTTTGGTACCTTTTTGTTTATTGTAGCATTACTCACATTAACCATGCCCTGACAATAACCCAAGCTTCCAAGAAAAAGATTACTAAATAAAGAAAATGTGGTTTATGTACACAATGGAATACTGTTTACTCTATAAAAACAAGGAAATCCTCTAGTAAGCTAGTCAGAGAAGGGTGAGCATTATACAATACCATTTATACAAAGTATCTAAAAATATACTATCGAAGCAGAGAGTAGAACATTACCACCAGGTGGAGAGAGGAGAATTGGGAATTACTGCCCAATGGTGTCACATCTCTGCTACATGAGAGAAACGTTTTCTAGATATCTGTCAGGGAAGGGTTTTTTTTTTAATTATTATTATGTTTTGTTTTTGAGATTATAATATAATTGTACATTTCTCCCTTCGCTTTCTACCCTCCAAACCCTTCCTGCTCACCTTCAAATTCATGGCCTCTTTTTACACTAATTATTATTAAATGCATATGTATATGTAAATGTATGTGTATTTACATATATTGTCTTTTTGTAAAAATGTGCTGTATTTTTTCTTTGTATTTATTTTACATCCTGGTTGCAGTTTTCTCTCCTTTTTTTCCTCCCAGTTCCTTCCCGTTATCCCCTCTGTTCCCACCCCTCCAACCCACTCCTCCTCCTTTTAATGATAAACTTGTATGAGGTCTTTTTAACACTCAATCTTCTCACTCACTGCTATTGGAAAGGTCAACACTCTCTTCATAATACCCATTGTCAGATCCATTTACCTGTCTTCGGGAGCCACACCGTAATTCACATGGTTGAACCAGCTGTTCATCTTTTTTGATATCAACCAACTCACAATTGGAGTTGGAAGAAAATTTCTGACCATGTTCTGAAATCGTGTCATGAATATCATGTCCCACGGGTAACCTGAATCAAAGACACGGCTGATCACCCATGCCCCTCCGGTGGTGCTGAGGAACACCTGGAACCAACCAAAGAGTTACAGGGGGTGAAGACTGATATAATATGTCTGTTACTGTGAAAACACACAACTGACAAGATAGTCTTGGTTCCTCCCATGGTTTGAATTTACAGAGCATTGAAACGCCACAGGATGTTCACCAGATGTTCACCTTCTCTCTTTCATCTGTCCTTCTTTCTCAGCCATACTGGCCATTTGACCACTTTCATTTTTCTTTTAGCTGATTAAGCTAAGAAGATAGTGTTTTGATAACCACACCATAAGTAATTTTCAGGATAACTGTTCAGAAAGCAAAACATTTGCCTACCCAATCTGTTGTTTGCTGAGCCAAGCAGACTGAACACATTGCTTTTTCTTCTACACAACTGAGGCATGAAGGCTACAGCCACTGTTGTTTTTTTTGTGCAACGTTATTACATCATGGATGGTGGGCACAGCCCTGGAAACGTGCTACGAGCCTCAGGCCCATCAGAGGTTCTTTTTTTTCCCCCATTCAAATATTTACACTTCCTTCCCTCCTCCCAATCCCCTCCCTGCTTGAGAGAGGGCAGGGTACCCTGCCCTGTGGGAAGTCCACGGCCCTCCCCTCTACATCCAGCCTACGGACCCATCAGAGATTCTGATGCAGTGACTGATGCTGCCCCCTTTGTCATGATACAGCATGGTAGATACCACTTCTACTTCAAACCAGGGGCACAGACACTTCTTTGTTAATTCAAAAGTGACAAGATAAATGTCAAAGCATGGTTTTTGATTACAGAAATTTCCAGATAATTAGGGAAGGAGAAACAATGTTAACACAGGTGGAAACTGTAGTGGCCCCAACCCTTCTAAGTTTTGTTTTCAGAAGTTCTTTCTTTTTCTTCAGGACAAGGTCACCAAATTGCTAAGACTCTTCGAATTAATTAACTGATGTTTTAGTGAATGAACCATTCATCAGTTCCTTCGTCTAAAGTAATGGGAGAATCTCAAAGTTACATGCCCTCCATATTCTTTCTTCATGCTCCCCTCCCCCACTTCTTTATCTGACATCTGTTTCTGCTACAGCTTCATGCTCCATGAGAGTGGTTCTTGGTTTGTCGATTTGGTGCATCCTGAGTAGGGAAAACTCACTTTGTATCAAATGTAAATGTATTTTACAATCTAAGAGTAAGATCCTGCTGGGTAGTTGTAGCACACACCTCTCTTTAATCCTTGCACTCGGGAGACAGAAGCAGGTGGATCTCTGTGAGTTCAAAGCTAGCCTGGTCTACAAGAGCTAGTTCCAGGACAGCCAGAGCTGTTACATAGAGAAACCCTGTCTTGAAACACACACACACACACACACACACACACACACACACACACATAGACACACGCATGCAGCACACACAGATCTCTGCAGGAGGAGGGGGCTGGTGTGGCAAAGAGGAAACAAAGACAAGGAAGTGGAAAGGCCAAAATCAGCCCTTTGGTAAGAACGTAAATGGAAGATTTGAACCAGATTATGGAGTGCTTTCCATAATTATGACATTTATCACAATGTTTGACATTTATCACGATGTCAAGGGAACCTCAACTGAAGAACTGCCTCAGTCAGGTTGGCCTGTGGTCGCATCTGTGAGAGATTGTCCTGATGGATGGTCAACACAAGAGATCCCAGCGCATTGTCGGCAGCAGCAGCATCCCTGAACAGGTGGGACTAGGTTGCATAAGAAAGCTAGTCGAACATAAGCCAGGGAGTAAGTCAGTGAGCAGTGTCCATTGGTGGTTTCTGCCTTCACTTCCTTCACCGATGGACTGTGACCTGGGAGCTCAAGCCAAATAACCCTTTTCTCCCCGCGAATTGCTTATGATCATCAGAAAGCAAACAGCACAGTGACTTTTCAAAGGATTTGTTTGTTGGTGGTTCAGAGTCTGCATGGTTTGTTAAGAGTCGGGAGAGTGGACTGTGGGTGGGGCTGTCGGGGTGAAGGGCAGTTTCCTAACTCATGGACTTTGAGTCCTTGAGGCTCAAAGGGTTTGAGGACTTCCTTGAATACCAGGGAGTGGCATGACTTCCTGCTCGTTCTGTCTCTCCTTCCTGGTTTACTGGTCTGTAATCAGGGTATGCGCAGTACCTATCTCAGTGGCTTGTTTTCGTGAAGTAATGGATCAAGGAGCATCTAGGGCAGTACTTGGCAATGAGTGATCCAGGGAAATATTAACTGTCACTCCAGTTTGCTAGTGACAAAAAGGGAGGCTCAGCATGAGGTGGTGAGGACCTGGGAGATCAGCAACTAAAGAAAGAGAAGGGTCAATGAGAGCCATTAGCAAGGAAGCCTTGCCAGGATTGAGGGACCCACAGGATTGAGGGACCCATGGGACCGGGTTAAGAAAACATTTCCTCTAGCTCTAGATGGTAAGAAAAGTGAAGCACTGGGCCAGTGGTGCAATGGATAACGCGTCTGACTACGGATCAGAAGATTCTAGAAAAGTGACAAAATTAAGTGTTAGAGAAGCGAGTTCTGGAGCAAAAGTGGCAACTGGGACCCACAGGAAAATATATGGTGCTCAGCCTAAGCATTGAACTGGGCATGATGCGCGTGCCTGGAGCCTAAGCATTGAGCTGGGCATGATGCGCGTGCCTGTAATTGTGGCGCTGAGTGACAAGGGGAGTAGGAGTTCAAGGTCATTGTCAGCTAGATAGCAAGTTCTGGGCTAGCCTGAACTACAGGAAACCTTGTCTTGAAACAAGCCAAGTCCTTCAAAAATCTGTTGTTAGCTGGATCTGGTGGCATAAGCCCATAATTTCAGCACTCAGAAGGCAGAAGCAGGAGGATTATTACAATTTCAAGGTGAACCTGATCTACGTATTGAGTTTTAGGCCAGCAGGGGTGACATAGTAAGACCATAGTCTCAAAAAAAAAAAAAAAAAAACAAAACAAAAAACCAGTTTTCTGTTGGGCATTTTAGTCTTTTGACATTTATCATAATGTCAAACACTGTTTGATTAAAACATCCATGTTAAGATGAAGGTTTCATTAGGTAATATCAAGAGGGGTACCTTTTTTGCTAAATGACTGGCCTCCACTGCAATATCTGTGCCAGAATTTCCCATTCCAACCACAAGGACTCGCTTGTCCTTAAATATGTCCGGATGTTTATATTGTCGGCTGTGGAAGTACTGTCCTTTAAAATTTTTTAGGCCTATAGAGAAAACAAGAGCACACAGAGGACTTATAAATTCAGTAAATGAAGCATAAATATCTTCCACTGGTAACACCTTGAAAGATGATTTAGGCTTCTTTTATTAATACTAGGAAACTCTAGTTTGAGAAAACCTGGAATATTCATATACAAGTTCATATAATGCTATCTTGCAATTATTTACTTAATTGCTTATGTGACTGTAGGAAAAAGGAGTTAATTATTTCATTAGACAGAGCTCTCATTTTGCTCACCAAATGATGAAGTACTAATCTGAAGTACTGAGATGTAGAACAGGCTGTACAGACCTGTGAGGCATTGTTACCATGGCAGGGTAGACAGATGCTAATGGGAGGGGGTTGTTCTACTTGGCAGGGGATTTACTTATGTTGTGTAGCTTTTCATAAACAGGAGATAGAGCAGAGAAGTGAATCACTGATTCCATTCATCAAACTTTTTTGGGGCCCTGGCTGTGTGCCAGGCATTGTACTAGATAATATGGGGGAATAAGACCCTTGAAGTCTGGTCCCCACTCACAAAGGTTATTATAAAATGGAGATGTTTGCTCATGGTCCACAGTTCAGGCTGAACTCGCTGAGTCAGAGTTTGCTCAGTGAGAAAAGGTTGGGTGTGACGTCAGGACCACAACTCCCGGGCTTGCAGATAGCTCAGGAAGTTGGTGCCAAATCCCATTGAGACATCCAATGCAAACAGAAGGCTTTTGGAAAATCCTCCCAAGGCTGCATTACACAATCTGCTCAACAGAGACCCTAGCTTATCACCTTAGAACAATGATAAGACCTCTAGGCTCTCAGGATAAACATTGTGACTGCAGGAAGTGACTGTCTTAAGACTAGGCAGCTCTGTAGTTCACATTGGATCATTCACACTCTGGCATGAATCCTGGTCAAAACTTAGGCACATTTAAGATCATTTAGTATTTGGTACAGATTTTTACAAAGTTCAAGAATGAACTCAGTTCAGGAACTCTATATAATTGAGAGACTTTCAGGAAAAGATAACTAGAAAAGGCCATGATGGACCATAGAGTTGTCTCCTGATCCATAGTTACCTTAGAATATCTCTCCCTCAGGCTGTTTGGGATACAAGCAAACAGATAGGAGACAAACCGCGTGAGTCTCTGGATCAATACCTTCCTCTTTTACCTCCCAGGAGGACAGAGTAAGAATTTACAGTAGTTAAATATGTCTGTGTAAACAAATGCCAGAATGTACATAACTAAAAATACATTAACTAGTTATTTTGGGGAAATGGCACACTAATTCTAATTGTGATACTCATTAGTTTTTACCAAGACTCTTGAGAACTCACCATTTGGAATTTCTTTCAGAACCTGTAATAAATATTTTGGATATCCTCACTGAATTTAAATTTTTGTCATGGTTCACAACCACCCTAAAGTGGGGGGAATGGCAGAACTGGCAAGCCTCCATTTAAAGTCAGGATCAGAGTCTTGGAGCTCAGAGTCTCCTGGAGAGTCATGGAGCCAGGGACTTCAAATTGGCAGTATATGATGAAAATGATATTAAGGGCTGTAGTATTTACATAGCCCTCTTCACTTGATTTGTGATACGTGCATTTGGGTAAAGTGAGCTGACTTCTTCAATTTGTCAGCAGTTCTCACTCCCAAAGGCTTAGAAAAGTGATGGAAAAGGCTGAAGACCGTTACCCGGTGAGCCGTGGGGCTTAGTTTGTGCTTTGCAGGTGGGTAGCTCGTCCAGTTCAAACTGAACACAGTGGCTTGCATGCATTCATAATCTGCATTATTCCAGTTTGATATAGCTCTCAGGGCAGACTCAGAACATGAGTGTCTCTGAGTTTGGACTATTTCTATTACTTCAGATCTTATGCGGATTGTGATTCCTATACCAAACCCTATTTATGCCTTTACTACTAATTACATGTTGATTTCACTTCTGTGTTATCAACGCTTAGTGTAATATATTGCGAGTACTGAGTACATGGACTTTTTTTTGGTTTTTTGTTTTTCTATACTATGATGCTTCCTGGCTTCTTGGGGGTGATCCTATACTAGGAGCTCTTTCAGAGATATCTGAATGGCTGGCTGGCTTTTCAAGGCTTTGATCTGCAGGCAAGAGTGCCAACTGTTAAAGATGCCTTATTGAATGTATTCAAGTAGAATCTTGGAGATCTTTGCTTATTTTAGTGTGTGTGCATGTGTGTGTGTGTGTGTGTGTGTGTGCGCGTGTGTGCGTGTGTGTGCGTGTGTGTGTGCATGTGTGTGTGCATGTGTGTGTGCATGTGTGTGTGTGCATGTGTGTGTGCATGTGTGTGTGTGTGTGCGCGTGTGTGTGCGTGTGTGTGTGCATGTGTGTGTGCACTTGGGTGACATTACATGTGCACAGAAAGCACCTTTCCCTACTCAACCATCCCACTGGCCTAGGCTTGGGTTGCTTAGGAAAGCTTCCTGTATTGGGAAGAGGTCTGCCTAGGTTCTTTTCAATTTAGCAATTCTGTCGTAGGGAAGTTTCCAGGGTCTACTTATCCTAATCTGACCTGAGCTGAGTGAGCTCTGGGCTGATCCAGGCCAACTGGAGGTAGGTGAGATAGTGTAAGATAGATCTTGGGATCACTTCCGGTCATGTCGAGAAGATTTGGAGAAAAATTTCCTTGGCTTTTTGAAAACTTATTACAGGTGAAATAAACTTCTAAGTCCTTGAATTTTCTATATCTCTGAGTTGATATAGAGCTGGAATTTGGCACAGAGTAGCATGAATGATGGCTGCAAACGCTAGGTAAAGGAACTGAGACCTGACAATGTCATAACTTGCATCCTGAGATTAATTTCCCTTTTGGCTATTGTTCCAGCGCCAGGAAGCTTTTATTTGCCCACTCTGAGGGAGACAAGTAGGTACAAATCAAGTTTCTCACTCCATTATTCCAAGACTGCCTTTTGTGTCCTTTAAACCCAAATTTAGCAGTGAGCAGCAGCTGCTGAGGTGAGCAAGTTGTGTAAGCATCCCCGATTTCAGAAGACTAAGTACTGCCTGTCACTTAGGGAGGAGCACGGAACCTCAGTGAAGCAGAAGCCCGCTTAGCATGTCACCCACGATTCTCATCTGCATTAGTAGTTTGTTTGAAAGTTCTGCTTGGAAAAAAATGTTACATCACAATCCTAACTACTTAATGAAAGAGCCCTAACAATTCATCTGGGGACCAACCATGTATCAGGATAGGTGCTTGAAACAATTCAAGGTAATTGGTAGAAAATTCTGTACCTGGAAAGGAATCCAGGGGCAAGTAAGGATTCGTTAGAAAACCGGTGCAGACCATAACAGCATCAAATATAGCTGAGCTTTGCTTCCCTTCATGGAGAGTGACCACTTCCCATTGTCCAGAGGTAGCAAAATCTGGGCATTTTGTTACACTGCATACTTTGGTCTGAAAAGAATCACAGACATGATTAGCAGATGTCAAGTTTGTTTCACTGATTCACAAGTGGAATTTTCAAAAGGTCTAGAATAGAAAGACCAAATATACGTAAGGAAAAGAACCCTAGAATCCTAGTCAGGCTATCAAACTGAATATGATGTATTAGGTAGAAAGCTTTTAAGTTTGAAAAAGTGAAAAATCAAAGGCATTAAATGATTCACTCGAATTCTTATTGGCTTATTGGCAGTGATAGAACCTTGGGAGTAGTCCAAGGTTCCAATAATCTATTTCTTGTTTGTTTTTATTGAACTCATATATGTAAATGAGTATTAAGTTTTTTTTCAGTTTTGTTTTATTTTGGTTTTGGTTTTCTGGGACAGGGTTTCTCTGTAGCTTTGGAGCCTGTCCTGGAACTAGCTCTTGTAGATCAAGCTGGCCTTCATAGAGATCCATCTGTCCCTCCCTCCAGAGTGCTGAGATTATAGGCATGTGCCACCACTGGCCAGTTATGACTGTCAAGTTTTAATTCATTACTTATGTTCTGCCTCTCAAACCCAGGTCTTCAGATGTGGCATGTTAGGCAAGCCCTGTATTCCAAGTCCCAACCTTATAATTCATGTTTCTGATGAGGCTTGAAAATTATTCTTTCTGTTATGCAACCTTGTTTATCACAGAGAACTTTCTTTAACAATAGTTCCTTTAACAGACACAATGATTATATATCATTGAAAATAAAAATTTGATCATAGTTACCTTAGCATAACTATGCTTAGCATAAAGTTTTAGACAAAACGCAACCAGAGATTGACTGCTAACCTTATGACCCTAATTATTTAGGAGTATTCCAAGGTACAAATAAAGTATTTTTTTGTTTCCATTGAATACACATATGCAAATGAGTATTAAGTTCTGATTTATTGATTGTGTGCTGGGAAGCAAATCCAGGTCTTCAAATGTGCATGCAAGGTAAGTAAGTACTTCCAATTCCAAGCTGTTTATAAGAAAATTAATACAAGTCAAACTTCAAAGTAAAAATTACTCACTAACCAAGAGGTTTTGCTCTCTTTCTTTTTAAAACATCAGAAGAAGTTGGGTTTTTTAAAGTCCTTCCCACTGACTTCATTGTTTGCTGTAATATTCAAAATGCCTTTGGGCTTCTGCATTTGTTTCCTTTTTTTGTAAAAATACCTTATTTTCATCTTGTATTTGCTTTATATCTCTCTTAAAAAATTATGAAGTTAACAGCTTTTATACTAAAATGTAAGAAAGCTGCTTAGAAATGTCTTATACCTTTTCATTAGCCATTCTGTGTAGTGCAAAGGCCTCATTCCTCTTACCAGTTCACTAGCTCATCTACAGAGCATAGGGCTGTGCTACAGAGAGGAGATAGGAGATAAGTCAAAGAAAACTTCCTAACTTCTAACTGATGTGCACATCTTACCTTGAACTGAATGCATTTCAGAAGGTTGAACCGGCTTGCATATAGCTTGAGATATTCCAGGAACAGAGAATTTGGTACAAAGTTTGGGTAGTCTTCTGGGAATGGAAAATCTGAGTAACAAGACATCTCCTTGCTACTGTTAGAAACCACAGACTTGTAAAGACTGGCTCTGCCTTCTTCAACATGTTCCTGTGTAAACAGAGCACACTCATGAGCATGCACACACACACACACACACACAAAATGTTACTGTTTTTGAAATCTCGAACATTGGTTGAATTTAAGCTAACCAAGATAACATACATTACCTGTAGCTTTTAAAATAGAATTTGCATTAGAGAAATAGTGGACATTAGACCCCAGTGTAAACTGCTTGACCACAATCATTATTTCAGTCATTACATGGCTCAAATAAATCTGGGAGGACCTCATATTCATGCAGCATCACAGCAAAGTGCAGGAGAATATAAAACACACAGGCAAAAGCCTGGACACGGTCTTGGATCAAGAAGACTTGCTAGTTACTTTAGCTTCATGGATTACTCTTGGAACAATACGAGGGAACATGATTTGAATTATGAAGTCATTACATAAAAAAATCTAAAGCTTTTGGGTATTTATAGGAAGCTTGTGGTAACATTGAAACGACTCACATTAAACTTTGAAAATATAGTTTTGGTTTTACTAAAGAACCAATCTAACAAAGAGATTATGGGGTGTGAGGATGACGATGAAGGAATCCAGGGAAGAACCTAAGACACAAATCTTGATTGCTAATGGGGGTCCGAGCAGAGGTAATGGCAGTTGGGACCGAGAGAGTTGGCACTTGTATGATGGCAGTGAGAAAAATCACACAGGATTATGGGAGTAATTGGAGTTAGGAAGATGAATGATCAGAGTTTCAAGACTGGACAACTGTGTGCATGGCTATAACCAATTTCCTATCTCAGTTTGAACGCAAATAATTAGTAGCAGCAATATATCACATAACTCAAGACTGAGGGATGCATTTTAGTAATTCTTTGACTATATGTAGCCTCTGTCTTGTGGGTGGTATTATGGAGAACTATTGATTTAAAAGAGAAAGTCCTTAGTATTACAACACTATTTGTAACCACACACACACACACACACACACACACACACACACACACACACACACAATTTCTTTTTACAGAAAGGTAAGTTATTTTATTTATATGGATAAGTGGACAAATAAACACATTAACACACACCGTTCATATGGATGGGCTCACTCTGTTCCCAGAAAGCATATGAATCTAGGCATAAGTAAAACATAGAGCTATCATAGAGAATATAATTAAATATGATTAAAAGTTAATGTTATTGGTTTAAATTAGTGGGACTTGTCCATATCAATTTATATGAGTTGATTGCAGCCTGATATGTGGTTCCACATCTGGCAGCTTCACTTTAGCTGCATAAAAAGACCTAAACAATATTATCAATAAATCTGCTAATGCAGAAGGGAGAAATCCCAGGGTGTTCCACTCCAGACAAAAAACTCCAGGTCACTGATGACTTCCAAGAGAGAAAGAACTAGCCTCTCCTGGAGATAAGACCCTTAAATTGTTATCCAATACAAAGTGGTAAGTCACACCAAATGGACTCAACAGGTTGTACTGATATACTTAGGTGTTTATATTATATATGTGAAGCAATAATAAAAGGACTATCAAATTGAGAGCGAGTGAGGGAGGACATAGGAAGGGCTGGAGAGAGAAGAGGGGAGAGTGGTGTAGTTATATTTTAAAACTATAGCACCCTTTGCTTCACTGTGGATAGCAGTTTTTAAGCAGAATAGTTCGAACCGATAAGGCTTTAAAAAATATCCATTTTAGTCAATATATCTCTGCGACCTTGGTTTCTCTTCTTAGAATGTAACTAAGCAATAATTAGGAATAGTCCTTTATCCTCATGAGAAGGATATTATCATCCATGAAATCTAAACTAGGTACGTTAATAAGCAAGAAGCAAGCTTAACTGTCATAACAAAAACCTTGAATATTGGGTTAGGGTATATCAGTGAGAGAGCATTTTGTCTACCATGCTTAAGGCCCTGGGTTCCATTCTTTGTACCACAAACAAACAAAACACCCTCAGACATCAATGCAGCCTCCTCATATAGTCAAAGTGTGCCTGTAGTTGTTTAAGATGAAGAGCTGTTATTTCACACAAAATATTTTCTTCAGCTAAAAATTGCAAGCATAGTAGTGATACTGCCTATATGTAAACTTTCAAATAAAAATACATTTTTTGATAATTGTTATGTTTAACAGAATTTACTAAAATTAATTTTATAATTGCTAACTCAATAGAAATGATCATATTTTGCACAATTTTCACTTTTGTTTTCTTAAAAGTTTACTTTTTCTTATACTTTAAAAGTCAATAGTTTATAATTAAGTGTAAATTAACAAACCCAGAGGTTCTAAGTTTTGGCAACACTGTTCTCTACAGTTACTTTAGAATTAAGGTTGCTATGAGATCTTAATAGCCCATCGCCCCTGTTTCTGAACGTCTGGGTGAACCCAAGAGTCTGAGATTTGAGACGAGCACATTCATATGATTTGTTTATGCGCTACTGTGTTATGGACCATGTTTGAGGAACAAGACTTTACAACAGCACTAACCAACAGGAATGTGACAGAAGCTATATTTACAACTTCTTTTAAATAGCCATACTTTTAAAGACAAGTGAAGGTTATTAAAAATACACCTTACCTAATTAGATATGTATAAATATTATTACAGCATGTAACAATATAAAACTATTAATGAAGTGGTTTGCTTTATTTTCCCATATTAAGCTTCCAAAAATTATCTCTATCATCTATCTCTCATCTATCTATCTATGTATCTATGTATCTATGTATCTATCTATCTATCTATCTATCTATCTATCTCTCATCTATCTATATATGTTATATTTTCCTAGTATTGTCTCTGCCAGTTGCCCCAATACTCTGTGAGATTCTGTGCTTTCTGAAAATTGATGGGACCATTTAGGAGAAAAACTTTGTTTTCATGAAGGGGAGAAAAAAGAATGAGAGAGGTGAGGGGGAGCTGGGCTAAAGAGAAGGGGAAACTGGATCCACACATCTCAGTTCACACAGTATGATTAGAAATTTTATCAGAGCTAATTAAATTTTGAATTGAAAGTAGGTAAAATAAAAATTCGGTTTTTTCCTCATTCCAGCTGAAGTGCTTCCTAGCTGTGTGGATGGCAGAGTTTAGGCAGATCTTTAACCTACAGGTGGTCATGGGAACTAAATATAAAGTTGGTTTATTTTACTCAAAACAGCAATGAGCTTCCTTCTGAGCTACAGGAATAGGAGCTAAAGTCCTATTAATATAAGAGTGGGAACAAACTACACAGAGAAGAAGCTGCACTGTCAGAAGAAAAAAAATGAGTGTAAAAATTTGGGGATCAATTTGTGTAGGGCGCCAAACTCTCTCAAGTTTCTGGCTTCCAGGAACCTCACAACTATATTATTGCTAGTACAGACAATTTTCAGTAAAGATAAATCACACACCACACACACACACACACACACCCCACAGCCTTGTGTCTGCATAGAGGTGGAGGAGAGGAAGTGGGGTGGGGGAGAAGGAGATGCTTTTTAAGAAGGGGAGAACCACATGCTCCATGAGGATTTCCAAAAAACTAGCCCCCAAAGTTATAGTATTTTAATTACATGTTTACACTCCGGTGGGGGTGGGGGTAATGAGGCCCGCTGGAGCTCAAAGCAGACAAGCTGCTCTGTATTTCATGAACTCTTGCTGCAAGAGAGCAAACAAACAAAAAAGGGAGCAGGAGTGGAGAAGTCCTCTATTTTGTAAAGCTTAGAAAATGCTTGCAAACACACACACACACACACACACACACACAGAGAGAGAGAGAGAGAGAGAGAGAGAGAGAGAGAGAGAGAGAGAGAGCTTCCAGGAAACATTGAAGCCTGTTGTGAAATAATGTATCACAGATGTCAGCCGCAGAGAGTACGGTCAGCCCTTAGGGTCAAACCCATGGCGAACTCTGTTCCCTTCTCTCTCCTCTCACCAATTGCTCCTCCTGCATAAATACCAGGGCTTGCACATGTGTAGTGAACATGGGTCCATGTCACCAACCAATGCTATTTGTGGGTCCTGGACCAGTATTTGCCTCAGTGGTTCCCCAGTCTGCCCCAGTAATTCCCGGACTCCTTGGATCTGTCTTCAGACAATCCCTCCCTGCCAGCTGCAGACACACCTGGGTGCTTCTGCTCCTTGCCCTGGTGCACAGTATGGGGAGTATATGTCTTCTGAGAACTGATGGGGGTCATTTAGGGGAGCAATTTAGTCAGTCCTCATGAAGTGAAAAAATAAATGGATGGGATTAAGGGGAAAGAGGCTTTGAAGAAGGGGACAAAATAAGAGGATGAATGGGAGGGTTTTGGGCTTCTGGCCCACTTTGGTTCTGCAGCACAGTGGGATCTGGATGCTTGGTAGGACCCTGCACAACTCAGGATTCGCCTGACCTTTGAACTGTGAAACACACTAGAACTCCATGGCACGCCTCCCTAGCAAAGGGGCAGACGGCGAAAGTCCACATTTGAACTCTTTATTTTTACTGGCTGGTCTTTGGAATTTTCTTACCTTCTCTCAGTCTCAGTTTCCCCACCTGTATGGGGGGACAGTAGTATGCACCCCAAGGTAGTGGCAAGTTCCTAAAACAGCTCTGCTGAACTTCTCATTAATGTTAACTATTAGTCGTGATATCAGGGGCACAGCTCAGGAGAGCTGCTGACAACAGAAGTGCTGTGGGTCAAAGGTCCTTTTCTATCTCATTTTAAGAAAGAAATTGGGTGAGTCGGTGGGGAGAGTATCTGGAGGGACTTGGGAGAGGGGAAGAGTTAAGATCAAAATGTGCTTAAATCTAAAAGTTGCTTTGAATAATAAAATATAATAAAAAAGCAAAAAAAATGGGGCTTGGAACTGAACTATAGTAGGGATGGCCAGCTTTTAAGACTTTTCAAAAAAGTCATATGAAAACCTACTATAGTGAAACTTCCTAAAATATGCACACATAAACAACTACAAAGAATTATCCTATAATGAGGGGACAATGTCCCTAGACACCATAGGCTTACAAATAAAAAGCCCAGTGTCAGGAGTGGGTTATCTCTTTT